AACAACAACAGTCTAATATACTGCTCTTTCAACTTTTTAGGTAGATGGTGAATCTTATAAATTAAACCCACACACTAAAGTCTAAAATAAACAATACTTCATAAAATCTCCAATACAGCCTATTTTTTAAAAAATACTAAATGATCTTCCATATAATTTTTAAAAGGAAAAGTTGACGATGTTTATATAAATAAATGTGATGATGTTAATATACATTTTTATTTTACAAAATGTTTTCTTTAAATAGTAATCATTTTCAAATTCTGTACATACCAGAAAAGTCCAATCCAGCAATGGGGAAGAAATTCTTGACATTGTGAAGTACTAGTTTAACCATTGTCAAATGGAGAAGAGCCCAGCTGTATGGGAACGAAAAAAAAAGTCCCTTTAATTAAAATACACACACACACACACGCATAGAGGGAGAGACAGCACATTCTTTATTTACTCTTTGAAGAAACTACAAGGTAGAAATATTAAATACAGTAAGAATGTAAAATGGCCACAGAGTTAAACAATAAAACAAATGCTAAGAACATATATTGCATACTATTTGTCTATATGGGGTTTTTGCACGATGTAAACTTAACTCAAGAGAGAGACTTCAAATCTAAGGAAAAGGAGATAAGTGCAACAGTACAGAACAACGAACTGATACGATCCTTCCTGGATGAGCAGCTAAGCGAGTAAAAGGGAGAGAGCAAAGGCCTAGCCAAGAGGAAAAGGAAACGATCTACCTTCTATTATCCAAACTAATTACTAAGAAGGAATTTGTGAGGAAAATAAGCAGAAGCGTAAGAGTTTCCAATGAATTATTTTTCCCTTTTCCACCATTTATAATCCACGCAAAAGCTATTATTGATATTAACTGCTAAGAAAGGCAAAAATAGCTTTTTTTTCGTTTCTCAAAGGAAAAAAAGCAATAAATCACACCTGTAATATGTGAGAATTACATGGTGGAAAATATTTACCACAAAATAACACAGAATCTACTTAAGTTTTAATGTTCATCTGTAAATAATTTTTCTCACTAAAACCATTTTGTCTTCTTTACAAAAAAAAGCTATTCTTTTAAAGTGAATGTAAAGGAAATACTTTTACACCCTAGAAATTTATCTGAAAGTTAAAGAATTCTTTACTTGAAAATATGAATTAGTTCTTGTATAAAGTTGTGCTAATACTGATACTTAAAGGGAGCTCTGGTGGCCCAGTGGGAAAAGAGTTGGGCAGGCAACCTAAAAGCAGGAGGTTCGAAACCATCAGCTGCTGCCTTGGAGATGGGCTTTTTCCTCTCAGGAGATTAACAACTTCTGAAAACCAGATAGAAGGTCACCTATGAGTTAATTTGACTTGACAACACATAACAACATTTTTAACAGGATTTTCCATTTAAAAAAAAGCAAGGGGGGGAGTGTTCTTTACCTATAGGAATTTGGATCCTGGTGCTCTTGGATTTGTGTATCTGAAAAGAAAGCATCATCTTCGTCCTCATCACTATGAAGGCTTTCATCTGAATCATATATAACACCACTATCAGACAAAGGGAGAAATGGCTGCAATAAAAAGTAGTTATTTTTTTTTTTAAAAATGTGTAAAATGTTTTTTTGTCTTAATTTAAAATTAAACATTTTTAAAACTATGTAAAAACTTTCTTTCATAGGCAGATAAATAAAAGGGTCAAAAGTAGCTAAATGCTTGGATTTAATAAAACAACCGAGTAGCTAGTTACAACATATTGTATAATCCATAACATACACATTTAAAGGGGCTCTGACGGCATGTGGGACATTACGCATCTGGCTGCTAACCTGAAGGCCGGCAGCTGGAGTTCACCATCACCTCCCATAAAATGTATAGCCTCAGAAACTCAATGGAGAGTCTCTATGAGTTGGAATCAATATGAGTGTGTTTTAATAATTACTTAAGAGAAATATCTTACTTCTAATATATCTATATAATTAAAAACATGGATATAGTTTAGAAAAGAACATTTTCATGCATTTGGGTAAATTAAGACCCTGCAAGCTCAAGATTTTCTGTGAAATTAAATATGAAACCATAAGCTGGGGATAGCATAGTGTTACCACTTGCACTACTACCAAAGGAAAACACTTTTTTGCATCAAGAAAAATGATTTGGATTGTTGAATGATGTAATCTCAGTACTGCTTATAATTAAAAAATATAAAAAGCAAATATCTTGCAGGTGAATGATTAAGGTAATTATTATATAGTAATCAATATAGTTATTAAAAGTTGTTTATTTAATAACAATATCCAATCAGGTAATTTTTGTTTCTAACTATAATTTTCCTCCACAAAGGAGCCAAAAGCTTTGGAGCAATGGTTATATTTAGTCTTGGGCAAAAAATGTACAAGATTAGCTTAGTATAACTTGTCATACTAAAAATCTAAGAAATTCTCAGAAGACTGGAATAGTATCAAAGACTCAGGAACTTCAAAAGACTCTCACAGACCTGAAATGGGACAACAAAAGCATTCACAAGAATAACAGGAATTGATTAAAATGCATAATATATGCTTAAATCCAGATGATTAAAAGAAAAAATAAAATTAATTAACCTTCTCTCTAAGATGAGAGAGAACAAATTAATCATTTTGGAAACAAATAGATGAAAGCAACAGGAAGCAAGTGAAAATACCAAGCCTAGATTGTTCTTGCCGTTAGGTGCCACCAAGGCGACCCTCTTAATAACTGATCTGAACCCTGTCCTATCCTGTGTTGTCGTCACAATCTCTGACACATTCAAGCTCATTGACGCAGTCACCTTGTCTTCCTATCTGGTCGAGGGTCTTCCTCTCTTGCCTACCTTCCACCTTCTTAAGCATCATGTCCCTCTCCACGGAATAGCCTCTCCTAGCAACAAGCCCAAAGTCTTTGAGTTGAAGGAGCACTCTGACTGTTCCTTCTCCAAGATAGATCTTTTGTTTTTCCTGCAGTCCAACTGATCTTCTGCACTCTTCTCCAACACCACAAGTTCAAAGGCATTAATTAATCTTCTTCTGTCATCCTTAGTCACTGTCTAGCTCAGAGATGCACAGCAAATGACTCAAAAGACTATGGCTTATCATCTGCTAACTCTTCAAGTCCAATGCCAGAGTCTTCGTCATATAATCCAGCTTTTCCAATGATTTACTCAGCATACAGACTTTAAGTATGGCGATAAGATACAATACTGATGTACATCTTTCCTGTTTTAAACAATGTAGTGCTCCCTTGTTCTATTCAAATAACTGCATCTTGGTCTGTGTACAGGTTTTGCATGAGCTCAATTAGGTATTCTGGAATTTCCATTCTTCTCAAGGTTAGCCATAATTTGTTACGGTTCACACTTCAAATGTGTTTGTACAGTCAATAAAATTCAAGTAAACATCTGGTATTCTCTGCTTTCAGGAAAGATCTCTCTGACATCAGCAACAATATTCGTCATGTGACAGCTCTTCTGAATCCAGCTGGAATTTCTGGCGCTCCCTATAAATGTTTAAATTTATTGAACAGATTAAAGAATAATCTTCAATATTTTATTTGTATGTGATGTTAATAATATTGTTCAATAAACATTCCGTTGGATCATTTTTTTAATAGGAACAAATAATGGATTTCTTCCAGTCAGTTGATGAAGTAGCTGTCTTCCAAATTTCTTGGAATATATTAGTAATTACTGCCCAGGATAACTTCTTGATCATACACTACTTCCTAAAATGCTTGAGCATCAATCAATTCTTTTTTGGTATAGAGACTGTATATTTTCCTTTCATCTCCTTTTGATACTTCATTATTCAAAATTATTCCCATTGAATCCTTCAGTGTTACAACTCCAGGCTGAAAATTTTTCTTCAGTTCTTTCAGTTTGAGAAAAGCTGAGTATGCTCTTCCTTTTTATTTTCTAACTCCAGATTTTTGGATATTTCATTAAAATACTTTGCTCTATTTTCTTGAGCTGTTCTTGGTACCAGCAACCCCCTTGATACCAGCAGTCAAGAAATCAAAAGACATATTGCACTGGGCAAGTCTTCTGTAAGGGACCACTCTAAAGTACTAAAGAGCAATGATAACAGCTTAAGAGCTAGGGTGCACCTGATTCGAGCCACGGTCTTTAAATTACATTCTATGCATCTGAGGGTCAAACAATAAATAAGGAGTACAGAAGAATAGGTATCTTTCAGCTGTGATGCTGGAGAAGAGCACTGAATGTCCTACAGTCTGGCAAAAGGACAAATATACACATTTTCAGAGAAAAGTGTAGCCAGAATGCACCTTAGACATGAAGATGGTGAAGCTTTGTCTCACATACATCGGGCAAGTTGTTAGGAGAAGCTGTTCCTTGGAAAAGGACATCATGCTTTGAAAGCTGGAGAGTCAGCAAAGGAGAGAAGTTCCTGAACAAGATGGACGGACACAGTGGCTGCAGCAATGGGCTCAAGTATGTTAGAATGACAAGGATGGTCCAGGATAGGACAGGGTTCAGATCTGTTGTTCAAACAGCGGCTATTAGTTGTACTTTACTCTATGAACTTAATAACATGTTCTCATGTAATTTTCAGAGTCTCTTTTGACATCCATTTCCGTCTTTTCTTTCTCCTCTCACTTGGTGCCTAAAAATATTCCAAGTAGTAGAAAATGATAATCCTGAATCTACAGCCAGGTAATTGGCTTCTGATTTATACATAAGTTCAGTATTTCAACTTGTCTCTTGCATCAAAAAGTATCTCATCATGCTGTATTTATTATGATTTACCACGTGCAGTTTCTGGAATTGAGAGACTAAATGTGTAAACTGTTGGGATTCAAACTAGAAACTGTCCCATCATTCCAAGGCAAGACATTCACAAGTCAGTGGGACACCCACACTTCAAGCTTTCCTTTCTCACACCCCTTACCTTTGCAACAAAATAATCCCACATACTAAGTTCAGGAGGAATAAATTTTTCTTTGTAAGACGGTCTTTCTGCAGGCACTGGTGGTGGGGTGGCATCTTTTACAGGCCTTCCGGGGACCAGCATACGCATGTTAAACCGCCTACGATGTTTATCTATGTCTTCTGAAGGAACAGGTGGTGCTAAATAAAGTTAATAAAGGGGGGGGGGAACACAACAGCATTTACTTTCCCTTATTAATTCAAAAGATATCCTTTTCAAAAAAAAAAAAGATATCCTTTTCATCCTATTCTATTATGACAAAAGTTTAGACAAAAATTCAAAATGTTTTTTGATCACCACTTTCATTAATTTCTAAAGCATTTTAAGCACCTCAGCAGAAAACTCTGGATAATGTTCAGAAGTCACTCCCCATTCCCTCCTCCAGAAGCCACTGGGAACAACCCATCTGTGCTTTTAGTTTCAATGACTTTACCCCCGTCGACATTTTACCTGGACATTTCAAATGGAATCATACAGTATATAGCCTTTTGTACCTAGATTTTTTTTTTCCACTTAGCAGGTTTTTGAGGTTCATATACACTGTAGCATGAGTGAAGCACTTCTTTTATAGCTGAGTAATATTCCAGTGTGTGTGTATGTGTGTGTGTATCTTACATTTTGTTTACACTGAGGTTAGAAGATAAAGATGAAGACTACCACATATAACGGGAGAGGAAGAAATGGGAGTTGATGGAATCATCTCTTCAACTTTAATTCATATGATAGGAGCATAAGCATTTAATTCCATTTTCGGCAGCAGGGACACAGGTATGAATCTGTGTAATTTTAACTCTTTATGCCACTAATCCCACACGTCTATGTGCAATGAGCATTTCTAAGGATGAATAAAGTTGCCTTCTAAGGTTTCAGTGCTAATCTGAAAACTTCTCTTGTGGCAGCTGACACCTTATTAAAACGTGGGATGAAAAATATATTCTCATCGACAGGAAAAAAATACACACATATACCATGAAAATAAAAATTTGGGAAAAATATGCATGATTGAAACTGCTATCTCTACATGAACAGAAACTTCAGCTGAAGTCAACTGTTAGCACATTCTAAAGATATTTAAAAATTTATTTACATTTTCCCACCCTGATTAAGCACTAGCTTTTTTCCATGTCTTTATTCTTTAGCATTCCTTCTTCGCTTACTTTCACTTCTCTATTTCTTTTTAACTCTGATATACCTTGGTTTATCCATCTCAAAACTGTTACTTGTATAAAAGCAGAACTAGAGTAAATGTTCTTTTTTCATTCTAAACTGGGTTTACTTATTTACTATCCTAAAAAAAGTAAATAGCCTTTCTAAATTGGTGATCTTCAAGATAAAAATCCTTAAAACATGAAAGACATATTTTGCTGTTATATTAGATATTGTTTACACTAACATTAAAATTTATTATTGGCATCAAACTTAATCTTACCAGAAATATTTTCTGATTGTCTTCGAGGTTTCACGACAAGTTTCGCACCCCCTCCGAAAACAGCAGCCCACATTCGATTATTTAGTGGGTGGGCAGCAAGTCTAAATAGTTCATTGGGGGAATTTGTGGCAAGCGCATGTATCAATAAACTTAAGTAAACAGCAACAACAGCTTCACATAACAGAATGTTCAATTTAGGTTGGTCTTCATCTTGGGCTGAACTCAAGAGATTAATAAGTGAGGTCACACCTGTAAAAGTATACAGTATCATATGAAGCATAGCAGCATAAAGCAGCAAAAGGCAAAAAATAACAAATTTACAACTTGCTCAAAATGTGAGTATATACAGCCCATAATCTGAGTAAAAACAATACTGACAGAATGGATTATAACCTACAACATAAAATAAGAATTTATTAGTCTATATTTATACCCTAAATAAGTGAACAAATAGAAGAAAAAGAAAAGGTTTTTCTTAGAGTAAAATTTAAACTAGTAAGTAGAAGAAAGGGTGGTTGTTGTTGTTACATGCTGTTGAGTCAATTGCGGCCCATAGCAATCCTATGGATAGCAGCTCTGAACCCTGCCCTGTCCTAAGCCAGTCTCACTAATTCCAACACACCTACCTCCATTGCCCCAGTCACTATTATCAAACCATCCCATCCAGGGTTTTCCTCTCCTGTGCTATCTCTCCACGCTTCCAAGCATCATGTCCTTCTCCAAGGATCATTCTCTCCTGGCCATCTGGCCCAAGTATGTGAGACAGAGCTTCAAAATCCTAGCCTCCAAGGAGAGACCTGGCTTCACCCTCTCCAAGAAGAGACCTATTTGTTTTCTTGGTGGTCCATGTTATGTTCAAGACTCTTCTCAAGCACCACAGTTTAAAAGCATCAATTCTTCTTCTGTCATCCTTCTGTGCAGCTCTCTGACTCATTGTAAGTAACTGCAAAGACTATGGACTGGATTAGGCACACCTTAGTCTCTAGACTGACATCGTTGCTTTTCAGTACTTTGGAGAGGTCCCTGCCAGCAGATTTTCTCAGTGCAATTCATCTTCTGATTTTCTGACTGCTGGTGTTAAGAGTGTTGATTGTGGAGCCAAGCAAGTTGTAATTGTTAACAACCTCAACCTCAGTCTCTTCTCCATCTATCATGATACTGCCAATTAGCCCAGTGGCCAGAATCTTTGTCTTCTTGATGTTAAACTTCAAGCTATATTGAAGGCTATAGTCCTTGACCTTCTGCAGCAAGCACTTTAGGTCTTCTTCAGTTTCAGCAAGCAAGGTTGTGTCATCTGCATAACGTAGGTTGTTGAGGAGTCTTTCTCCAATCTTGATGCCACATTCCTCCTGATAAAACCCTGCTTCCCATAAGATCTGCTTTGCATATAGATTGAAAAGATATGGAGACAGGATGCATTCCTAACACAGTCCTTTCCTGATTTTGAACCATGCAGTGTTTCCTTGCTCTGTTCTGAGGACTGCTGCCTGGTCCAAATATAGGTTTTCCATAAGTACAATGAAGTGTTCTGGGATTCCAATTCTTCTCAAGGTTGGCCACAATTTGTTTTGATCCACACAGTCAAATGCCTTTGTTTGTATAGTCAACATTCCTCTGGTACTCTGCTTTCTGCCAAGATCCATCTGACACTGGCAATAATGTCTCTAGGGCCACAACCTCTTTTGAACCCTGCTTGTATTTCTGATAGTCCTCTGTCAATGTACTGTTGAGTCATTTCTGGAATATCTTTAGCAGGATTTTGCTAGTGTATGATATTAGTGACATTGTTCAATAATTTCCACACTCTGTCGAGTCATCTTTTATTGGAATGGGAATAAATATGGATCTCTTCCAATCATTTGACCAAGTAATTATCTTCCAGATTTCTTCGCACAACTTGGTGAGCAAGTTCAGGGCAGTGGCCGGGGAAGGGAGGATTTGACCAGGTAGACAGGAATGCAAGGAATGGTGATGTAGCAGGGAAATAGAAGAGAAAAGAAACACATGTTTGGGGGCGGGGGGACAGAATATGCATTGGCTACATCTGTAAGAGAAGTGTCCTTCATCAGCTCCATAAAATGCTTGTCTGTCAGATATTGTTCTAAAACTAAGCAGCCAAATTATGAAAGACTACGAAGGATTGGTCATCCAGTTCTGAAATATAACAGGTCTTTGAAAACCCTATGGGCAGGAGAGCTCACTTAGACTAACAGTTATGGCAACTGAGGCTGAGTCCTCAAATTTGGAAACACAGAGGAGGAGGAACAGCTGTAGGAAGAAACTAGTGATTGGTACATGGAATGTGAGAAGCATAAATGTAGGAAAATAAGACATTGTTAAGAAAGAAATGGAATGCATAATAGTGACATATTAAGTATTAGCAAAATGAGATGGATTGGCAAGGGACATTTTACATCTGTGGAAGGAATAGTTGGAGAAGTTCATTATCAGCAGTGAAAACTAGGCCAGGTGCTGATTGTGGAAGAGACCATCAACTACTCATAGGAAGTTCAAATTAAAGCTAAAGAAAGTTAAATCATATCCACTGTAATAAAAATTTGATCTTGAGTCTGTCTCCCATTAATTTAGAAACCAACTCAGAAATAGGTTTAAAGCTCTGAACATTAATGAACGAAGACCAGATGAGCTGTGGGAAGATATCAAGAATATCGTTCTTGAAGAATGCAAAAAGTCATTACAAAGAAGGAAGAAGAAGAAGAAATGGCCAAAATGGATGTCAGAAGGGACTCTGAATATTGCACTAAAGCATCAAGAAGCCAAAGCAAAGGGAAGAAATCAAGAAGTTAAGGAGATGAATAGAAGACTTCAAAGGGCAGCTCGGGAAGACAAGGCAAAGTATTATAATGAAATGTGCAAGAAGCTGGAGTCAGAAAATCAAAAGGGTCAAACTCATTCGGCATTTTTTTTTTAACTGAAGGAATTGAAGAACAAATTCAAGCCTCAAGTTGCAATGCTTAAGGATGCTGTGGGAAAAATACTGAATGATTCAGGAAGCATTAAAAGAAGATGGAAGGAGTATACATAGTCATGTTACCAAAAAGAATTGGCTGACAGAGAAGAATTTCGAGAAACAACATAGGATCAAAAGACAATGGTGATGAAGGAGGAAGTGCAGCCTGCTCTGAAGAACTTAGCAAAAAAAACAAAGCCCCAGGAATTGATGGAATACTAATTTAGAAGAAAGGATAGAAGTAGAAAAGACAATGAGTACCTATAATAATATATGATTCCGGTAAGAATCCTCAAGGAATGCTAAAATTATGGTTAAAATGTTAAATTTCATAACCGCATTATACTTACGTAAAAGAATGACTATTTTTAGGAAATAGATGCTGAAATACTTAGCCATAAAGAAACATCATCAACATCATGTCTACAACTTACTCTCAACTATTTCTGCAATAATTACATGTATACTGATGTATACATAAGTATACATGCACTATATACTTATATACACTCAGTATAACACAGTAAATGTTTGAAAAAGAAAAATAATGAATGACAAACCAAATATAGTTAAATGCTCACATTTTTAAAATCTTGAGGTAAGATTCTATAAAAATTTGTTGTAATATTTTTGCAACTTTTTAAATAAATCTGAAATTATTTCAAATTATAAAGTTAAAATAAAAATTATCTATTTCTAGAAACTTTTGCATAAATTAATTTTAATAGACAGAGTTTGCTAATCCTTTCCATTGCCACACTGGCAAACTGCCATTTGTTCAAATATTGTACTCAAAGGTATAAGGCAAGTACAGAAGAATTCACTAACATGACTGAGTGAGAAAGAGGTATTCAAGAGAGTAGAGAAGATCTGAACTGATGTAGAGAAAGAAAAAGAGAGCTAACCACAGAACAGAAGGGCTGGAAGACAAAATGGCATATGTGCCACAGAATGGTCCCTCCTATCTTAAAATATGAATCTAACCTTGTGGAATAATTATTCTTTTCTCTCATTTATCAGTGAAATTCTGCCTGCAATACTGCTCTCTAATACTCTACTTCAGAATTTCTCAGGCTAAGCAAGATGATGTGTTCACCCTTATGAAGGATGTTAAAACCTTGCTCTTTTATGATGGTCAATATAGTTGGTTTTTGAAGTCTTAACTTTGAGTCTTCAAACAACATTATCGTCCTAAGGAATTCCTAATTCATAGAAGAAGACATCATCAAAAGCAAACAAATGGACAAAAACTGTTCACCAAAGCCACAAAGAGAAACAACTGTGAAACCAAGTTAGAAGCTTTTAAAACAGAATTGTGAACTATTAGGTTTTTAAAAATAAATAAGCAAACAAACAAATAAATAAATAAGCTCTCAGGATCTCACCAGGCCACTGAGCAGGGGATGAATTTGGTGTCGCATGTTCTTCAATGCTTTCTGTCCTCAGTCTCCGGCGATCACTTAAAAGAAGTCCTTGATAGGCCATTCCTGTAAACTGATTTCCCTCAGCTTGACTGCTAAAACAGATACCCTCAGTTAATTATTGTCCTGAGAGAAGACATAATAATATGTGACATATACCACTTATTCTAAATCACTACAATAAATACAAAGTTCCTTAAACTAAGTTCACTTTTCTATTACTTTAGAGCATTCTTGAAATGAGTTACAAGTGTTTTTTTTTTTAATTTAGGTTGTTTATTTTTCATTTCAATGAACATCTACAGAGATTTTGGGATTCCATTCATTCATTGTTGCACCCTTCTCCCCGCACAAACCCCTCCCCCCCATTTGCTCCTCTCCTTGAAAAGCAAAAGAAAAACATTCTTGAAACAAGTTTCAAGTATTTTGTAAAATAAAATACCAAGATGATATAAATTTTATTCTATTGGGCACATAACACTGATCTTTTCCAGGGGCCACTTTCTGCTTTAAACATTTTTTTCAATTATGCATTTATTTTTTAAAAGTTTGAAATCAAGTGACTTTTGTTGGTGCAAGCACATACTAGACTGAAAGTTGCAGGCCACTGCATTCTTGGATTTCTTAATTCTGATAAGTTGTATAAGATTAATGCCAAATTAGACTAGCTCCTTTGAAGAATGATGTATAAATACCTAATCATAAAGCCAAATGTTTACAAATATTTACTTTCCTTCTCCTCAACTGCTGTTTTAGTGACTATTGAGAGAAATTTTTAAAAAACCAAAACCCACAACACAGAATTTAAACTGATTTACTGAGAGTCAATCATACTAGTCTATAATGTAGGCATTTAAAAAATAAAAAAGTCTTTGAATTCTTAATTGGCATTATTTGAACCAGTGACTAATATGACACAACAAGTTGCCTTAAATTTTTAAAATTATCTCAGTTAATGGAGTAAATTTTTTTAAATTTTTTTTATACTTAGAAGTCTAAGTAACTCCAAGTCAACTGAGATAAAATCAGAGTAATTATGCAATATCAAGTGTTTTCAAAAATGATTGTTAAATTTATAGTCCAAAGTATCTAAGTATGTATTACATAGACTTAATGTGAATCTATTTATATTACATATTTCTTTATTAGTGCAATCCATTTACAACTGGGTCAACTTTCCAAATGATCAACTTCTTACACTGTCATAATCATTAAAATGCAAAGTATACAATGACGAAGGCAATTAGTCATCATTTTCAAAGACTTTTACAAAATATATAAATGGCAAAGTAAAACTTTAACAACTCCCTTTTGTAAAAATATTTTTCCATCTTCAAAAGTTACATCCTTTTTCAAATGAAATCAATTAAACTAATAGAAGTTAATCCAGTAGTAAAAGAAATAACTTCTAAGGGGAAAGTAATCAGAAAAATTCTTATCATAAATTATTTTGGGCAATGAAGTCTTCTCTTAAGAACAGAAAAGTTGGTGATGATGTTACATTTCATTTGTTGTATCTGTTTCTATGCTTCCTTGATCCTACTAGGTGACAAATAACTTTCTGAGTCTATCACTTTATTACAGTTGGCAGTTATATTGGTAATTTTTCAGTCCCCAGAAAATAAAACTTTAATATTATGGAAACAGCTTATTGTTTCTGCTGTATTAGGTCTATGTGGGATGATTTTTTGGTTTGGTTTTTTACCTGTAGCTATGACTGTCACATAATGCTTGGTAAATTGATGCAGAAAGTGATGCTGCTAGTGAATGAAGTGTGTGCACCTAAAACCAAAACAGCCAGAATTACATTTTATACTATCATAACTCTATACACCAGTTAGGTCTTAAAAATAGAAAACTCAGGAAACTAGCAATATAATAAGCAAGACTGGTTTTTTCAAACTAACACTTACAAAACTTCTAGAATAACACCCTCATTAAAGAAGTTAATTCAGACACATTTTTATTTATTTACTTATGGTAAGGCTTTGCTTTACTAGGCTTGAAGCACAGTGTCAATATTCACAAAACTGGGACTTGTCCTAGCCTATTAAAGATTAGCCTAAATGATAACATTCCAAAAACATCAGAGACAAATATACTGAGACTTTTTAGAGCTATTTTTTAAAATCTGTCTTACAAAAAGCCTGTCAATGAAAATGATTTGATCTTCTCAATAAGAATTAATCCACTCTCTTTAATAAAGGGTTGATCCCTGTGTGGAACATAAAATTTTCTAGAAAGCTAGTAACTTACTTAGTGCTCAACAGCAGGACACAGTCCTTGAATTTTAAATTCAGAACATTTAAAAATTACCAATCCAATATAAAAACCACGTTCTAAACTGCCATATTACACTTACACAACCATAAAATTTTAAATGACTACATAAATTGTTTCACACTCTTTGAAAGCATTATCCAAATTTCTAGGAATTGGAAACATTAATTTACAATTCATATGGATTTTATTAAGTACTCTGTTAAAATAACAATATAAATAAATTTATGCTATAGTCTCTAATGGATGGGTGTAGTGAAAAAATCTTGAGCCTAAAAAAAAGATTAATTGGCAGGGAATTAACATGCTTTTCAAACAAAGAAAATAAAAAACTCAAAATGTTAGGGAACCTGAGATGGCATCAAACTAGAAAAAGACAACCTAAATGAGCTTAGATTGGTGCAATGGAACAACTACCCATATCCTACCTGGTATTTCTTGAAATGCATCAGCTTCTAAGTTCTCAGATCAGACCATAAAAGCTAACTTGGGAAAATAACTCTTGCCAAAACTCTGACTATCTTTAACTATTATATACAAAACCTGCAAAAACCCCTCCACCATCAAGTGGATTCTGACTCACAGTAACCCTACAAGGACCAGGCAGAACTGACCCATATGGTTTCCAAAGTTATAACTTTATAGAAATTAATTTTGGTATCTTTCTCCCAGGACCAGCTGGTGGGTTCAAACAGTAGTCCTTTCAGTTAGCTGTTTCACCACTGTACCCACCAAGGTTCCTGATGATTTTCACTGCCTTTAAATTATACAATCACTGGGGAAACAATTAATAACGGTATTTTCACCAGGACCATTTCTGATACCTTTCTCTCCCAGCTACTCCCCAACATGTATCTTCACAATTCCTTAGCATGTCAACATATAGCCATGCATATTTTTAACTTAATGACTCATTTAGGGGAACAGAACTAAAGAAATAATTGTAGCAAGAATACTGTCTCGAAAATTAATGTATTACAAAAAAGTCCCAAATTTCTGTCTTAAAGGAAAGTAATTCTTTTTCCAGAAATAAAAAAGAATGCTTACTCTTAAAATTATGGTAATTAAATAATCTTAAACTAATCAGGACTTAGAAGTTGGCTCATAAAAGGAGTGTAAAATATTTCCTGTAATTACAAACTTTAAGACAAGTATTACATATTTACCTTGATGGCATGCACAATATCAAACGCTCTTAAACTTTGCATTACCTTCACGTTGTCAACACTGGGATGAGGCGGCGTTTTCATCTGAACAATAGTATAAAGTATGTCATGGATGTGATTGTTTAAGTACAACACGGGATTAGCTATGACTGTTTTTGTTGCAGCGATACTCGCTGACAGCAGAGGTAGAGCAGTAGGCAATGGGAGCGGAGACTGGAGCTGCTTCACTGTAGTTTCCTGAGGGAGGCAGTGGATCATTTCCAAAGTCATTAAAACAAAGACGGAAAATTCATCACTATCTGACAAAACACTTGAGACAAATATTTTGAATAAAAGTAATATGTTTATTTAGTCATTCACTGAACATCCAGTATCTACCAAGCAAAAGTGGGTGGGAGGGGAGAAATCAAACCAAAGATAAGGATGATCATAGGATGCTCTCAAGCTATTAACTTTACACCTAGTCATCAAACTTAAGTAAAAAGACCCATGTAGAGAATGTAGGTATCTGCTCTGCATAAACAGAGAGCTAAATCAGTATAGAGTAAGTACCGAATGGAGTTAGATGGCTTTAACTAGAGCAGCTGTTTGTGGTGGTGGTGTTCATAGCGACCCTCTGCTCTGAAGCCTGCCCTGTCCTGAACCAGTCTCATTGACTCCGACACACCTACCCCATTACTCCAGTTAATGAATCAATTCATCTCATCTCGGTCTTCCTCTCCTGCTCTGTCCCTCCACCCTCCATGCTCTCCATTAAAATGATTAAAAATAATAATTAAAAATAATCAAAATTGAAAGTAAAAGTAATGTTCACACCTGTTGGGATTCTTGTAGCAGAAATTTGAGTTCCATTCTCACTGAGGCCAGGCCCCCACCTTGGGCCCCGTGGAGGCTACAGTAACTAAGAAACACCCGTAGGAGATCTTGATTTTTCTGCAGCCATAGCTTGCGTCTCTCCGCGTGCTCTCGCTTAGCCTGCAATCTCCGTCTTTCTATCTGGTGGCGCTCATAGGAGCCAATATCTGGTTTGTCCACCATTTCTTCATGATCCAGATGATCACTCTCTTCTTTGGCATACGTTCTACCAGAATATTCTTTAATAACTGACTCATGGTTGCATATCTCATGCAAGGCAGCAATTTCCTTTTCTAGCCAGTTATAGAGTTGAAATCGGAGTTTTCCTCCATCTACTTCATAACCTGTAGCCAATGTTCTCAGTTCTGTCATGAGAATCTTTAAACAGGCTCTGAATTTTAGTTGCTCAGCAATCACGTCAACTTCAGTATCACCTTCAAGAAAGTCCTCTTCCTGAGGAGTCAGTAAGGTATTTGGGTCTCTGTGATCTTGTCTATCTTGTCCTTTGTCATCTGAACTCTTCATTACTAACCCAGCACCGTCTTCTTCCTCCTCTTCTAAGGCACTATCATGCTCTTCACCCCAATCAAGACGAAGAGGTTCCTCATCCACTTTGACCAGTGGCTGACTCCAGTCAATCTGGGATGAAGCTACCCCTGACCAATCAGTGTCAAGTCTTCCGCTGTCACCTATCTGAGGCTTGGATTCTAAAGATACATCGCCCATCTTTTTAGACATGACGCCAGCTTGATCATTTTTTGCTGGTAAGGCAGATACTTTGGTTACTTTTGGAATTTTGGAGAGAACTTCCAAGGCTAAAACAGGGCAGCCAACTTTAAAATGAGCATTTGCAGTGGTAAAGAATAATTTTCTTTCAATGAGGTTAATTTTATCCACAAAGTTTTTCTCAGTTTTAAGCCCTAAGGTTGCCAGAGTTCCTTCCGGGGAAGCAAGGTTTCTTCGAATAAGCAGAGGATGAGTCCGAAGGTAGTTGTAAAAACTAAACACCACTGGATTACAAGACTTGATTATAACTGTAGGAATCAAGTAGACTTAGTGTTAATATGTACTCATACTAAAGAGAATTTTCCATCATTAAAAAAATAAAGCATACTTTATTAATATATTAATTTCAAAGACCAAACTCACTACTATCAAGTGGATGCCTACCCATAAGGATCTCCCACTGGTTTCTGAGGCTATACATCTTTATTATTATTATTATACTAGTTTATTTACAAAATTTGAATACATTGTTTTCAGATCAGATTCTTCCAACTTCCCTCACCCTCGCCATCAAATTGGACAAACCCGTGATTAAACTCCCCACAACTTCATCCCTCTGCTTCTCTCCTCCCCACCGCCCTGTCTTGGATCTTCATACTCATTCTACAGTAATGGTTTTACACAATATTTGTCTTCGTGGGACTGAATTAGTTCACTCAGCATAGTGCTCTCCAGTCCCTCCAAAGATAGGTAGTAATTTACAAAATCACTGCTTCTGCATGCTGCGTAGTATTCCATTGTATGAATGTACCATAATTTCTCAATCTATTCGATTGTTGTTGCACGTCTGGACTGTTTCCAGTTCTTGTGATGGCGAATAACGCTGCTATGAACACTGATGTACAAGTCTCCATTTGTGCCCCGAGGCTATAAATCTTAACTGGAGGAAACTGTCCCTCTTTCTCCCTCAAGAGAAGCTTGTGGATTTGAACCACCCAGAGACATTAAGACATTTTGGCTCATGCCAGAAAAAAAAAAACATTAAAAAAAAACCAACCTTCATCATCAGAGACTTGGAACTACCTCATAACTGACCCTACAATAGATTTTCAGAGGCTGTAAATCACACAGACGGAGACTGCCTATCTTTCTCCTGCAAAGTCACTGGTGGTTTTGAACTGCCAGAGAGACAAAGACTTTGAATCAGCAGCACTACTCCCAAAGGACTATGCCACGAGGGGTTCCTTAAATATTAACCCAGGAGAGCTTAAACTATGGTTCATCCATACAACATAGAACTATGAAGTGCAAACAAAAATCTTCTAATATGCTGTTATGGAATATTGTAAGGAGTTGTGCTGACACAGTGTTAAGCATTCAGTTAGTGGCTGAAACCTACCAGTTGCTTCACCAGAGAAAGTGTAGCAGTGTGCTTCCATAAAGAGTACAACCTTGGAAACCATGCAGGGCAGTTCTACTCTGTCCTATAGTCGCTACAACTCTAATGGGCTTTCAGAGGCACAGGTCGAGAATGTTAATCATTCTCCTACTGGGGGATTTGAACTGCCTAGCTTGGGGCTGGCAGTACAACTTCTTACCCACTATGCCACCATAACCTCCTACATAGTCACAAGCTGGAATTTATTTGATAGCAACTAGTTTTCATGGACTAATATCTAGAATATAAAAGTGTGTGTAATGTACTACCTTTTATCTAAGAAAAGTTACAAACACAAACACTTGCTTAAAATTTCTAAGTGGAAAGAACAAATTTTATAAACCAATTCCCTAAAATGGGAGAGGGAAACAGAGAGGAGGCAATGGAAAATTCCAGACTTCCTTGAAAACTGGTTTTCTATATTTATTTAACTTTTCTTCTACTGATGACTACCTAGAATGTTCACTTTTTGTTGTAATCAATGATATTGCAAAAAAATGTTGCTAATTCATCCAATACTTTAAAAAAAAACCAAACACAAAACAAACCTCCTCAATTACTTAGGATAACTAAGAGTAAAGGAAATTTACAACACAAAGGGAATGTATTTCCAAGCCCATGTTACCAAACTAGTATGTCTAATTGCCTAGTTTCTTATTTATTGTAAATATATATGGAAATGTGATCATACGTAGTATACAATCATGTGGAAAAAAGCTGTATAACATGGCAAAACAAATCTGTACACATCAATTTAATACACATGAAGTTAGAATAGTACGACAATCTTACCTTTAATGTGTGTACTTAAATATAGGACTAAGAGTGAAATATGTGTTAAGTTTTCTTAGTACTATTTAAGTGAGGCAATCCACATGCTAGATTCAAGGACAAGTAGCAAGTGACAAGAAATTTAGATTCTGTTTATAAATTGAAAAAGAAATCTGGTAACAACTGTTTTTCATTTTGAGTATTAGTTCTGCAACTATTTTCCTTAAAAATATCAAGAGACCCACAAAATATCTTACCCTGCTGTTCATCCTCCTCCTTTGGTGTCTGTTCCAGTAACGTGTCCAAAGCTCGGGTATAATCTTTCATTATCCAATAGGCAAGACTACGTAAAAAAGGATCAGGATGTAGCAACCTGCAGTTGAATCCCGAGCCATCCTTTTGGCAACCCAAAATCTTCTGATTTAAGATGGATATATAAGTGGATGAAGTCTCAAATTCAGATTCATATAAACGAGCAATAACCATGGCTAGCTGAATATCTTCCATTTTTTCAAGACACACCTGTAAAGTGAAATATTTAGAAACATCTATCTTAGTGATTCTTTAGAGAGAAAAACTATTCCATTCATAATCTCAAATTATCTAACTTTACATTATCATGATGGAAAGAGGGAGACTAGGGATTCAGACAGTGAAAAGTAGTTAAAAGACTGATTACAGAATAGCAACCATGAAAAAAAATAAGAGACCAGAATTTAGCAGCTTCCACCAGAACAATAATTTCTAAAGTAAACATAAACAAAAATACAAAATACTTAACACAGAGGCCTCAGCTACTCTGAGAAATTAGAACTGTGTTTTTTTGCAATTAATTAGGATCTAAAGCCTAAAATATTCATGCTTTACATAAAACATATATATTCACAATACTGTCTCCAACTTAAATAAGACTAGTTATTAAATATTACTAGATGGTTCTCCTGAGTTTTAAAAATATTTCTATATTAAATGTTACTATTTTAAAACATCTTCCATTTATATATGAAATATATATGTAACTTACAATATAAAGTCACATAACCTATTCTGATATCTGGAAACTTATATTCTATATAATTTCTGACAGAGAGATTAAAGGTCACGTTGCCACAAATGATGGTAATACATTGAAGGGAAAAAAAGGGTTTCTAAGCACGGTCGTCAATTTAAAAGTGTACGGCAACGTGTTAAACGAGTTATTTTCCAAGATTCTCATTTCAAAATTACAAGCATTTATTGTTTTAAAAACTCATATGCCTGAGATAATTTAGGAAATCTAAGTAATCCTAAATTTAGATTGCTTTCACTTTCATTAATATTTCTCATTTTTTCCATCATGTATTATTTTTATTCCTTTTTTCCCCCTTTACTTAATTGGGTTGTTTATAATGAAAGTAAGAATACTAAGAAGAAGACATACTAAATAAATAGAAATATTTGCAACTGCTCTCAGAATCAGCTTTCAGAACTATGTATCTAAAATGAACAATTTTATCTCCTAATATTCATTTTGTATTTAACAAAGAAAGCTATACAATAGAATAATGTGAATTATAATCTCACAACTTTATCTGTGATGCATTTCATCTTTAAGAAAAAGTATCTCCTTATCTGCAGTGGGTAGGTAGGTAAAATAGCCTTAAGTAGTTACAGTTCAGAACCACATGAAGAGTAAGAAAATGATATTCATAAGCCTTTTTTGCCATCTTCATTTATTTTTTATTTCTTGCAATTCATATTTATTTTTTAATATATTATCTCAAAATGCAATTATGCTCTATATAAAATGTTCCAATTCTGTTTAATTCCTTGAATTTATAATTTCACTTACTTACTCCAGTGGCACTGGTTTAAGTTCAGCAATCTCTGTAATTAATTTCTTTCTTTAGAAACATATGGAAAAATATTTTTTTTCCTGGTTTTCAATTTCTTAACAAGTATTTCATAGCAGATTTTCTTATTTATACCTCTATGGCATCTTTCAATGACCCAGCTAATAAGAAAAAAGCAGCAGATTGTTCAAAGCGTTGTTTTCCAAGTAAAGAAAAAGCATTTTTCAAAGCAGCTTTACGCCACCTATCCTCATTAAAGTTGTGACTGAAAAACGTTGTCATTTTCTCATCATGCTGTGACCTGGGAACCAGAGCACAAACATCCATGGTAAAGTCCAAGTTAAAACAAGTAGAATCTGTCACACGATATATGGAACAAAGAAAGCAGTCCAAACATCAATCCAAAGTAAAACAGTAACTTCCATTTATATATGAAATAGATATGTAATAGGTTCTTTTATATCAAGATTCCCCCCCTTTTTCTCAGAAGGAAATCTAACATGATAATGCCAATCAATAAATTAATTAGCAGGGAAAAAATCAGTTTTTCGTTCTTAAAGTGCTTTCATAAAAATTTTCTCCTACAACATCCCACCCTTTAGATGCAGTTAAAAAGACAGCTCATTTTTCATACATAAGGCAACCAAGGCACAAAGAATTAAGCTACTTCGATCAAGCTCAAACACCTAAATACTGTCAAAAGCACTATATTTCTGATACGCAGCACAATCTGTTCCATTGAATCATCATGTTCAGAGTAGACCCAAGTGCCCTTCAACCAATGAATGTATAGAAAAACTATGGCATATTCACATAATGGAATATTATGCAGCACTTAAAAACAAGAAATTAATAAAATATTATACAACATGGATGAATGAGCTATCTTACAAAAGGATAATACTGCATAACACCATGGTTATAAAACAGGACTGACATGTTGGTTGGGGAGAAATTAAGAAAAGGGGATAAATAATGAATACTCTATTAGAACAGATGATGGAAAGAACTATTTAAAAGGAATGTATTATTAGGCCTTAATAGTATGGCAAAGTCTAGAATTACAGGTGCACAACAAAATAGACTGGCTGAGAAGTGAGTGGTGAGGGAGAAAATTATGCAACAATAAAATTTTAAATGAACTGGAAGTCATAGGTAGGAAAATGTACAACTATGATTGAATGAAAATCCAATTTTTCTGTAAACGTTCATTAAAATCACAATTAAAAAGAGTAGATGCAACGTACCTAAACAAACCCCAAACAACTGCTTTCTTCTTCATTGAAAGATAGAACAATGCTGCATCCAAGGCATCATTGTTCCTTTGAAAAGATGCTTTAGCGACCTAAATAGTAAAGAAAACATTACAGTAAATTAATTATTTGATAGAAAAATCATACTCAATTACTCAACAGTGAGTGATTATTTGCTTGTCCCAAAGCTGACAGAAACTAGGGAGACTGGGGGTGGGAGGAGGGAAGTGAAATTGGCTCTAATCCACAAGGTCCAGTACTTTTAATGCATGGTTTTCCAGATCAGTTGCACTGGTATTAGTTATAACAAAGGCCATAACAGCAACTCACATCAATTAGTTACTTATCATCTATCAAGAAACACTGCTAGTACTATAATAGCACAGTAGAGCTGCTAACAAAAAGGTGGGACATTCTAATCCACTAGCTGTTTTGCAGAAGATGAGGCTGTTGGCTTCATAAAGATGCATAGTCTTGGAAACCTTATAAGGCAATTCGACTCTGTCTTACTATTCTCACTGCTGTGAGTTGGAATTGGTCAGATGACAGTGAGGTTACCATGTACCAGCACCTTCAGGGATCTTATGACCACCCAGGAGGTGTTAATATTATCCCCAATTTACAGAGGAGCAGAGTGAAATTCAGAGAGTAAACTACCTAAGGTCAAATACGAAAGAGTAAAAGGGATTAGAGTTCAGGTATTACCACAAAATTGTCTAAAATGGGAAATAAATAAAAATACTCAATGGATGTGACTTTTTTCTTGAAAATTCACCATATTACATCTCTTAAAGTGTCAACAGATCAAGCTTTCTAGAGGTTGGGATCACAGACCTATATGTTGATGGACATTTGCCAAATGTTATCTGGTACAAGGCTGTACACACACACACACACACACACACACACACACAAATCACCTTTCTGTTTCATTTGAATAAATACATCACTTGTGAAAAGAACTTAAATTCATATTAGAAATATTCAATTAAAATGACACAATGTATCTTTGACAAGAAATTAAGGAAACATTTGATGGAAATATCAAATGCTGAGCTATACAAATTTTAATGTAGATACTATACTACTGTTAAATTATAAAAATTAGCTTTCCTTGCATACCAGAATCTACATTTCCCATCTGGTGTTAGCACAAATTCTTTCTTAAACCTGTACTCATTTTAGGAACACAAAGATTGCTATCTGGTTGGCACCTTCTATGTAGGAGGAAAACAGTATTTTTACATTCATATTGTCAAACTATCTGAGGACAATGTATACCAGAAATCACAGGACATGGATTTAGAATGAAGATGTCAAAGTCAGTCTGGATCTGACTCTGGGAGTGGAACCGGAGAGGATACATACTAAATTAACTTTGCTGGGTAGTTTTTCTGATACTAAAATTTGGAAATTAGTATTGTAGAGGAATGGCGTTGTGACGGCATGGTGCGTTAAGAGCTGGCTGCTCCCCAAAAGATTAGCAATTCAAATCCACTGCCTGCTCCTTAGGAGAAAAATAGGGCAATCTTTCTCCATAAAGATTTACAGCCTTGGATACTACACATGAATGAGTCTAGAGGGCAGTACACTGAGTGAAATAACTCAGTCACAAAAGGACAAATATTGTAAAAGATCATAGAAAAATAGGACGGTTATGGAGGGGGAGAGTGAGAAAAGAATGGAAAGACAATGAACGCTGTATTGGAATGGGGGAAGGGAAAATCAATATCTTTGCAAACTTTCATTCAAATCACAGTAAGAATAAAAACAAAGGGGGAAAAATAAGATCAATTACTGTAACTTTAAAATTCAAGAGTTAGTTAAGTTGAATCTTAAAACTAACAAAACCCCCAAATTTATCATTTTGGAAACCCAATGGTCACTATGAGTCATAACTGACTCCAGAGCAATGGGTCGGGCTAGAGGAGGTTGATCAAGTGAAGAACCAAGTGAAAAGTCAGGGCGGGGGGAAAAAGAAGAAGAAATAAGAGAGATTATTAACAAATGGGCTACAGTAAAGAGCTTACGTACAGAAGAGTTTGTGAGAAAGACCCAGGATCAGGCCATGTTTTACTCTGTTCAAGAGTTGGAGTCAACAAAACGGTACCTAACAACAACATCAACATTCCAGAGGAATTTCTCTCGGTGAGAGAAAGACATTAATACTTCATAAATACACTACCACTGTTTGCATTTCACAGAACTTCACAGCAGACGCCTGAAAATATAAATGAGAATCCCACTTTCCTAACCTTAGAGACACAGAAAGGGCACAGGTTAAATCTTTGGTATCTGGGCTGGTCACCTAACTTCTCTTGGTTTTGATTCTATCACCTGAATATGGACATGATAACATGGGATTGACGAGAAGCCAATATGAAGTAATTTATGAAAAGTAACAAGCACCAAACTTATTAGGATGACAGGTGCTCAATAAACTTCTGTAACATTGAAGTCATATTTTTCTCCTAAAACAAATTTTCATAAAAAATGTGGTGGCAAAAACCACTAAAAACTTATTGTGAAAACTGTCATGAAAATATCATTTTATTTGCTGCCACACATATTAAGTGGACATAAATAAAAACTGTTTTTACTGAATGATATTTTAAATGTACTATATTTTAAACCATTGAAATTATAGTTTCAATAGTTTAAAAGCGTATCGCGATGGGAAAGTCTGCTGTTAGGGACCTCTCTAAAGTACTCAGGAGCAACGGTGTCTCTCTGGAGACTAAGGTGCGCTTGATACAGACCATGGTATTTGCAATCGCTTGTTATGCATCAGAGAGTTGGACAATGACTAGGGAGGACAGAAGGATGGTGGATGCTTTTGAGCTGTGGTGCTGGAGAAGGGTACTGAATGTACCATGGACTGCCAGGAAAACAAACAGATTCATCTTGGAGAGGATTAAACCAAGCTACTCCTTGGAGGCAAGGATTCTGGGGCTTCGTCTGACATACTTTGGACATGTTGCCAGGAGGGATGGGTCCTTGGAGAGGGACATCATGCTTGGGAGGGTGGAGGAACAGCGCAGGAGGGGAAGACCCTCTATGAGATGGATTGATTCAGTGACTGGGGTAATCGGGATGGGTGTGTCAGAGGTGGTGCGGTTGGCGCAGGATAGAGCAGGGTTTAGGGCTGTTGTGCATAGGGTCGCTATAAGTCGGAAACGACTCGATGACACATAACAACAACAACAACATATTTTAAACTAATCATGTAGAATTTTTCTATAAAAGCAATTATTTTCCTATGCAATGTAAATAACTTTTAAGACCTTGTTTCTTTTCTAAGTTAGATTTTTGTTATTTTCTTAAATGAGGACACACAATAACTGCAAAAAAAAATATATTCCTACAAATGTAGCCAAACTTCACAGAGGTTTTCTGTAAAGGTTAAATTTTTTTGGATTCTTAAAATAATTCAACTTAAAAATCATCACAGTCTCAAGATTAAAAACTAACTCGCCACTAACAGTATTTATTCTCCTTTTCTAGAAGATATTAGAGTTTTTCTTCTTTAGTAAATATTTTTGTTTATTTGTTTGCTTTTAACTTCACAAACCAATGAAGTCAAGTTACCTTTTCAATGCATCTTCGTAGGGTGTTAATATTCCTGACCCACCAACCTATTCCCATAGCTCTTAACTCCGACCACTGAGGGTCCCCTCTCTGAATTGCAGGAATCCTATTGATCAGTTCTTCTTCTGCCTCAGAATGAAAAGCCCAGGCAAAATGACATGTTGACACACCTATATTGGAAATATGAAATAACTTTCAGAACCATATCATAACATAAAAAGCTCATTTTCATGCAGTCATGTATTTATTAATTCTGGAAAGAATTTCTAAATAGAAAGAATAAAAGGAAGTTCTTCATTCAGGATTTTATATTATAAATTTCTGAATACAAAATCACAAAGCCAAAATCTTTATATTCTACACAAATGTACGTGCTTTTCTTCCCTTTAGAAATTATGTTAAAACTTAAAATTATAAGACAGAAAGAGATTTCAAAACTGAGCCGGTTTAATACATCATAAACAGCAAAAAACTAGTCAAGTCAAAAGTGCATTGTTCAGGTGCCTGGGTGTTCCCACAATTTCTTAAGCTTGGGGATCACATCTTTAGTAATTAGTACTGAAACTGTTCCATTCTTTCTCCTGGCCATGGAGCTAAATATCACTTCAAAGAAAGCTCTTGTTGTTGTTGTTGTTGTTAGGTGCTGTTGTGCTTGTGACTAATAACAATGTACGACAGCTCTAAACCCTGCTCTATACTGTGCCAACCTTATTGTCTTGGACACACCTACACCCATTACCCCAGTCACTGAATCAATCCATCTCATCGAGGGCCTTTCCCTCCACCCTTCAGGAATGATGCCCCTCTCCAAGGACTGGTCCCTCCTTGTAACATGCCCAAAGTATGTCAGATAAGCATCAGAATCCTTGCCTCCAACAAGCAGCCCGGCTTCACCCTCTCCAGGACGAGCCTGTTTGTTCCCTAGCGGTCCATGGTATATTCAATATTCTTCTCCAGCACCATAGCTCAAAGGTATCAATCGTCCTTCTAGCATCCCTGGTCACTGTTCAGCTTTCTGACACATAGCAAGTAAGCTCTAGACTTTAGGAAAGTTCCAGAGACTTTCAGAGGTAAATTAGTCACTAAGCCACTAGTATCTTGAATCCCAAGTTTAACTATCTAATGTTGCTATGAGTTGCTACTGATTCTGACCCATGGTAACTCCATGTTTGCAGAGCAAAACTATTCCATAGGATTTTCAAGGCTTCTTTTAAAAGTACATTATCAAACTTACAATGCAAATTATCTCAGAAACCATATCAATGGTTGCTAAGAGCAGGAATACTCAATGGTAGCAAGTAAAACGACATATGAAGGAGCGCTGATGACAAAGGAGATAAGCACTTGGCTGCTAATGGAAAGGTTGGCAGTTTGAACCCACCTGCTGCTCTTAGGCAAAAAGATGCAGCCGTCCACTTCTATAAATATTACAGTAAAGGAAATCCTATGGCACAGTTTTACTCTTTCCTACAGAGATGCTCTAATGGAGCCCTGGGGGTGGAATAGATGGGGAGTTGGCTACCAACCCAAAGGCAGGTGGTTCAAATCCACCAGCTATTCCTTGGGAGAAAGTTAAGGAAGCTTCCTTCGTGATTTACAGCATCCAAAAATATATTGGAGGGCCAGCTACTAATTGGTTCCAACTCGGCAACAATAAGCTGAATTTATAGGATGGCTATGAGTTTGAAGACTAAGGATCATGATTCAGGCCATGGTCTTTTCTATTACTTGAAATGCATCTGAGAGTTAAGACAATGAATAAGGATTACAGAACTGAAGCTTCTGCACTGTAGTGTTGGAGAAGAGTACTGAATATTCCACGAACTTCCAGAAGAATGAACAGGTGTGTCTTGGGAAAGATGTTGCCAGAGTGCTCCTGGGAGGCAAGGAGAGCAAAGGTTTGTCTCTCATACATTAGGCATGTTGCTTGGAGAAGCTAGTACTTGGAATAGCCTATCATGCTTGGAAGGGCAGAAGGTCAGTGGAGAGGAAGACACTCGTACTCAATTCAACAGCACCTAAACACCATGAGTCTGAATTGGCTAGACAGCAAAAGGTTTAGATTTTCCTTGTTTGAAAGATATTTTTTTTTTCAAGATTCATATATGTTTAATGTATACAAAACAAAGGATAGGACAGTCAATAGATTCAATAGAAATTATCTGTACAATTAATATGATGGGGCAAACAGGACAGGGGAAAG